GGGAGTCAGGCTCAGCAGCTTGACAGCTACATGCTGTGACCGCGCAGCAACACTGGGCGCGATGTGAGCGGCCGTACAGTATGTAGACTCGAATCAGTCCCGCTCCGCTCGAGCACTCGCGAGGAAGATCCGGTGCTGGGACTGGTTCGAGTCTATGCCGTATGGGATGCACACCATCCGTGAGGTAACGCCATGCGCTTCGGCGCTACGAAGCTAGGGGTTTGTATAAGTAAGGAGACGATGGAGAGGAGCAATTTACGCACCGAGTCGCAGATCTACTGAGACTTGGTCCGCCGACGCCCCCGCCCACCCATGACCTTCATCGCGTCACACAACCGCTCACGCCCGCCGCCTGGTGCGTATCTGGGGCCCATTTCTTGCACAAGATACCAGCTCACTAGTTCAGAGAGCAGAGAATTCTGTGGTATATAGGTTATAGCAAAGGTGGGTCGATGGAGGTGGGGAGAAAGTGGAAGTCGGGTCGGCACGTGAGGAACAGCTCGATTCATCGTCCGCTGTCCTACTAACTGAAGCGCACTGGTACACACCACCGACGACACGTCGTGTAAAGGCTATGTAGCAGCACCGATCCGGCCCTTGAAAGCGATAGAGGGGTATACGCCGCAGAACGGTACCGACGTGTCCAATATGATGCTCGAGTATGCCTTCACCGATTATCGCTCGCAGGGCCAGACAATACCACGCGTTATTGTCGACATCGCGATGTCCCCGGGTTCTCGCACGGGCTTGAACAAGCCCAGCCTCTTCAACGTGCCCGTAGCCCTGTCGATCCGAGACGCTGATTATCGAATCTTGATGTTCATGCGACGATACAAACGGGGTTCAAGTCACTTCATTCAGATAGCTACAAACAGCATGTATCATTCTTCAAAGATCGAAGTAATATCGATGGGCAGCGCTTCCATACGCTTACGAATCTCCGGCTCGTTCGAACGCACATTGACGGCATGCCAAATCTTGCAGATTTCGCGATGTGAAGCCTCCCAGTGTCTATAAGAGTTCAATATACTTAGCAAGATACAGAGTGTACATGGAACTCACCGAGCTTGGCAGCCTTTAGTGCAGTAGATGACCCGGTGACAATCACTGCATTGTCGAGGGCTTATATCATCAACGATCTTCCTATGACACTCTATACACCGCTTCTTGACCACGCGCCATATGACATGGGCTCTACGCAGCGCAAAGAGTTGTTCAGGAGACAAATTGTCGACCGAGGTAGTGGAGATCGCTCCTCGTTCAATCAGCGCCGCAAGCCATTCAGTTTGAATGTGAAAACCATCGAGAGGGGGGACTATGCGTTCCGCGGTCCTGAGAAGCACTATGGGCTTGATGTTCATTTCGAGCGGGACCCTCGGATTCAGGATCTCGTAGATAAGGCCGAGCCAAGCGAGTAGCTGGCGACGGCGGAAGGCGCGATAGAACTCCCTTTCGGTCAGACCACTGTGTCTGCATGTCTGTCAGTAATTTGTTGTGTGCGGGGCACGACATACATACAGGCGATGGAGTGTGATGGATGTAAGTTGTTGCGTTGTGAATTGGGGAATGAATGGGTACAGAGAACGAAAGCGCTCGGTACCACGCCACATGAAGAGGATGTTGGCCACGCGGTTCATTGGCTGCATATAAGTCGCGAAATCGCCGGGCTGTTCGGCCGGATGCGGGAGAGCGCGATGAACGCGAAATGCGGCCATAGTGCGCCCAGCGTATAGCTGATACACGAGAGACATTGTGCGCAGAGTGATGGATACATCCTGAGAAATGAAATGAACCATAAAGCAGGGAAGAAGTGGGCGCATATGGCAACGAACCTTAGCGTCAATGGTCACTTCTGAAGAAAGGGTCCAGAGAGCATCGCGAATGACTGAATGATGGTCGGCACGGGACAGATAATGGTCAATCGGCGGGAGTAGGTCAATATCGGGTTCGTCCGGCAGGTCGGAATCCCGCATCTCGCGCAAGAGACCGAGGACGGGTTCCCATGACTTTCCTAGACGCTTCTGAGAAGACTCAAGAGTGAGTACAGCTAGAGGGATGAAGTTGACATCACTATTGCTACGAGGCAGCATAGCGGGCACTAGGGATGAAGCTCGACGAGTCGCGGAGACTATATAGCGCGTCATCGAAAAGTCCATCCGATACTAGGGGAAGCAAGCAGGGGGAATGCAATGCATGATTGGTCTCCCCCGCAGTATGATGATTGTTGCCTTAGACTCTCGGAGACGCTTGATGTCCGATACCGCGGTTATTCAGTCCTAGCGCCGGATAGCTGTACGACTGAAGGCCACATAACAGATCCAAGATGGTGAGCAAAGGCAAGTCTGGGCCCGCCGGGTTTCTGCGCTGAGGTGTGAGGTCACAACCGCGCGCCTTGTGACGGTTCACGTTGAAGCCTGTTCAGGCGCGCGCGGCGCGCGACTGTGCCGGGCGCATCTGCCAAAGCTACGGGTCGAGGGCCGACGATAACGCCATGCCAGGCGTCGGACGGACCAAACGGTGAAGGCTGTGAGCGTGTCTGAAGCACACATCCACGTAGATATCTTCCCTCACAGCCACACTCGAGGAGCGTGACCCTGAAACACTCGCGAAGTAGTACGCTATGAATCACTTCGATTATACAACGTCGGGTGTTTCAGCGCCCTTGCTTTTATGGGGTCGGCGGGTCTTTGAGCTCTATGGGAACTGCTGAGCGCCTTCGTTCGGCTAGACCCTTGCTCCGGCCTCGCAGGCTTGCCCGAATCGCCGGTTGAACGCGTCGATTTAGCCTCCCAGCTCTATCGCCAAACTCGACACCGTGAGCTATGGCGGTCCAAACGC